CATCTATCTATCCATTTATCCATCCATCCATCTATCATCCATCCATCTATCATCCATCCATCCATCCATCCATCCATCTATCTATCCATTTATCCATCCATCCAGCTATCCATCCATCCATCTATCTATCCATCCATCCATCCATCCATCCATCCATCCATCCATCCATCCATCCATCCATCCATCCAATTGAATTAGATCATTCATGTTCAATAATTATTGATCATGCATGAGGACACGTTCATTAAATTCATAACAGAAATGAATCCCACATTACTTTAAGTTTTTAAGGCAGGGCTATTCAACTGGTGGCCCGGGGTCAAATCAGGCCCACGGTCCGGCCCACCAATGGCTTCACTTTTAAATAAAACTAGTTCAAACAAACTTCATGACAATAACTGCTGGATGTCCGTCCCCTGAGCAGTTCCTGCTTTAAGGTCACCAAGTCATGTGCAGCTTAAATCAAAGCTGCTGTGAAACCAGAATCATGAAAATAAGATTCATTTTTCCTGCACAAACCATCACTTAATGGTTCATAATGGGGTTTAGTGAATTGGTCATTTGTTCTAAAACCAAGCTGCCCTCAACCGTTGTGCAGTAACTTGACATCTATAGTTACAATAATACCTTTAGCTGTAAATAACTCAGCACATGATTCCTGACTCTCTAGATGTTGTTTTACACCAAAGACGATGAGCGAGTGCTGTTTAAACGTCTTGGCCTTCACAGTCACCTGACCTTCATCCAGTTCACCTAAATGTGCACGACTTTGACGTCGCAGTGGGAAAAACTAAAGTGCTCAACAATCTGATCTTGTGCACGACTCAGACGTTTGCTTTATTTCCTAATGTGAACATCTTTAGTATTGCTCCATTAAATAAAAGCTGGAGAAACAAACGTTCACTGGTGCTATACACAACCTACTGGTTAATTTTACTGGTATTGTAACAAGTCGTGTTCTGTTCCAGGAAGAGCCGCAGTATGTACCATGCAGTGGGCTACAGCAGCATCTTGTTAATGCAGGCGGCCATGACCTTCGACCCAAAGGACATGGATGTTGCCATGGAGGCACTCAGAGAATCCCTGCACATCTGCCAGAGGTGTGGCTCCATCAAACATCATGGTCTACGCCACGTTCTCATTTGAAAGGCAAATTACTGTTTTGATGAACATCCTCAATAAACCACATAGAAAAGTTAAACAAAAATATCCAAATTACAAAACTTATATTTGGGGCAACAAGAAAACAATATCCTCTTACAACACAGAAGTGAAAGCTAGAATCCAGAGGTAGGTAAAGCCACACCAGTCTGAGTTTATTGTCCCCATCGTGGCACAGAAAGGGGGAACTGGATGTACCCTCCATCCGTCCGTCCATCCGTGAATGTTGTGAGCGTGATAACTTGAACCATAAGCACGATACCGACTTGCATTTTGATGTGTGGCTGCATCCAGGTGGACCAAAGGTTTCTGTAGAAAATTAGGTTACTGGGTCAAAGTTCAAGATGGCTGTGCCACATGTACACCTGGGGCGACACGGTGGCACAGTTGGTAGATCTGTTGCCTCAGCAAGAAGGTCACTGGATCGAATCCAGCCGGGGGTCTTTCTGTGTGGAGTCTGCATGTTCTCTCCGTGCTGCGTGGGTTTTCTCCAGTTTCCTCCCACAGATCAAAAACATGCATGTTAGGCAGATTGGTAACTCTAAATTGTCTCTAGATGAGAGAGAGAGAGAGAGAGAGAGAGAGAGAGAGAGAGAGAGAGAGAGAGAGAGAGAGAGAATGGGTGTTTGTCTCTATGTGTCTCTGTGATGGACTAGAGACATGTCCAAGTGTCCCTTGCTCTCGCACAGTGATTGCTGGACATGGGCACCAGTGAGCCCCGCGACCCGAAAAGGAAGAAGCGGGTAAAGAAAATGGATGGATGGATGGATGGATGGATGGATGGATGGATGGAGAACAAAACAATTGTATGTGTTAAATAATTTGTATAAAAAAATAACATAGAATTAAAATGTGCATTTCAGGATTAACTTTATTTTGTAAAAGTTGTGACTTTGCGACACTGACTTTATTTATTTTTTATTTATTGAGGTTTCGGAGGAAAACTGGAATAATGGCCAGCTTGGCCAGCTTGTGGAATGGACAAACAGTCGACATGACAGAAGGTGATTACAGCAGTTAATGTTCCAACTGTTCATCTTTATAAGCATCACGTGTTCCCATGGAAGAACGTCACTGATGTTTGATGATAAAAACACAAAAAGAGAAATCAGGACACTCTCTGGTCTCACTGACACCTGAAAAACCTCTAAAAGCTTGAACTTTTCCATTCTGGGCTTGATCGTGGTCAGAGGAGATGCATGCGGAGCTGTGCTACGCTGAAGTGTTGATGCAGAAAGCTGTCCTCACGTTCCTGGACGACAGCGTTGTCAGCTTCATCAAAGGAGGGATGGGAATGAGAAACAGCTTTCAGATTTACAAGTAAGAAGCTTCAAGTGAATTATCCTGAAGAGACAGAAGGTTTGGAAACAGAAGTCATTTCTGCTGAAGTCAGCTGGATGTGAAGATGTTGTGTGTGAACACCAGGAACTGCCAGGCCGTGGAAAACAGCCGAACAAGTGCAGAAAAACAGAAGAGTACACATGTTCACTTCCAAGGAGGGGTCAACATGGGCATCGGATCATTTAACCTGGTAAAAAATAAAACATCCTGTAAATAATATTAAAGTTAATGAGCTTTTTCTAATTAGTTTACTTTGTTATCTGTTTAAATTATGACATAAATAATCATTTAGGGTTCACCTGAGGTAAAAGAACTGTGCTTTATGAGACTAGAGGTCTCATTTTATTCTGAGACTGAAAACATTGTAGGTTTTTGAGTCACAAATCACACAAAGCAGCACCAAATACAAACTTTACCAGAGAGGCAAATAGCTGCAGCGTTAGGCTGTGGGTTCGAGTCCACGTTACGTCAGGCAGGGCCTGTGCTGCAAAGCACGGGAGCAGCCGAAAGAAACCAAACAACAAAAACTGAACGCACGCTGCATTTTAAAAGATAAACGTTCTTTATTGTCATTCTCATCACATGTGGTACACGAGGTGGAACAAAACTGTGTACTCAAGGTCCCAGTTACACCCAAAAATAGCAAAATATAAAGTATAAAAATAAACAGTATACAAGGATCTAAGATATAATCTAAAAACTAATAATGTAAAATAATACAGTGCATTAAACAGCAGCCTCAACATGAGTCTGTTGTGAGCAGATGGGTATGAATGAATACAGCAGCATGAGATAATCAGCAGCATGGATAATCAGCAGCATGAGATAATCAGCAGCA